AGCTCTCTTTGAGAAGCTCATGAAAGCTGCGGATGCTCTCTAGAGAGAGTAAACTACAAGTGAACCACGAAACACGTGTACGTGCACACACACGCACGCACACATACATGCACACAGGCACACACAGACCTACACGCAGGAAGCTCGCCCCCACCTCACCCTGCAGCCCAGCCAGGACAAAGTTTCTGTTAGGAGAGCTTCCCATCTCTTAGCACCGAAGTGCTACCTCACAGCACTCCTTTGAGGCTGGTAGGGAAACTGAGGCTTGGGCAGTTAGGTAGAGGGACCTGTCTGAGCTCGTGCTGCGAGAGTTTGGTGGGGGTAGTTGCAGAGGGTCGAGGCTAGGCCTGGTTCCTCCTGGCCCCTCAGTAGATCTGTGCTTCAATGCCTCCCATCAGCAATGGCTGGGGGCCCGCAGTGGACTCGGTCCCAAACTGCCCCCTGCTCCTTTTCTGACTGCCTGGAGGGTGAAGAGACTGTCCCAGAGGAGCACGTGGGGGCCCAGCAACCTCTTGCTCCCCCAGCACCCTCACCGTGGAGCAGCCAAGACTGCCCTTCAGGTACCAGCTGTCCCTTCACAGACACATTTCCAGCCTGGATCAGCACCTCTTCGCGTCCCATCGTCACCTGGACCTTGGGGAGATGAATAGTGGAAAAGCGGGTCTGGGCTCTCTTCCTCCCCTGTCCAGCCTCCTCTCTGTGGCTGCCCCATCTCCCTCCCTCACCAGCTGACAGTGTCCCGGCTGGGGGCAGCGGTCCCCGGGTCTGAGGTGGACAGCCCAAGTGGAGTCTGCAGCACCCGCCAGCAGGTAGGTGCAGCGGCCCAGGAAGTGGTAGTGGCGTCCATCAAAGGTGCGGTAGTGGAAGCCAGACCAGGAGGCGCAGGTGGCCGAGGGATGCTGGTGCTGGCTCCACAGCTGGCCCACGGCCCCTGCCAGGGGCTGCAGGGGGGCTGGAGAAGAGGCACTGCCTGGGAGAGACACACCAACTATGAGCCTCTGAGTGTGAGGCAGAGGTGGAAGGCAAGGACACAGGGTGGCCGGCACAGCGGGAGGCAGGCAGGCAGGGCGTGGTCATCCTAGTGGCCTAGGGAGCCGGTATGGGCCCTGTAGGAGGGCCCAGAGCAGAAGAACTCCACGTGAGAGTGCCTGGGGAGGCAGGAGGGGTGACGGCCAGAACTGTGCCTGTCTGGCAGGCTGGAGTCTGCGGACTCACCTGGCAGGTGTCGGCTGGGGCAGCTGAGGCAGGCCTGGGAGCTGCCATCCTGCCAGCTTCGTCCCCAGGGCCGGGCACAGCACTCCTCCAGGCTTCCTGCTGAGGCATTGGCTGAGCCTGCCTGTAGCTGGCACTGCCACATGGCAAAGCAGTGGCCTTCACGACTGGCTTCGGTGAGGGCTGCAGTAGGTGGGGAGAAGGGGATAGACCCAGGCAGTGTGCGTGGGGCAGCCTGGAGCTCTCAGCCCAGCCCTGGTTCCCTGCCCGAAACCACACATCTGAGTGAACGTCCCCTGCCCAGGACTCCCAGAAGGTACCACTTCCCCCAAAGGCACTCAGGCGCTTACCCTCAGTGCAGTGGGCACCCCCCCAGCCTGGGCAGCAAGCCCTCACTGTCCGGTTCCATGTGGCAGGCCGGGTTTCTGGGGGTCTGCACGCACCGAGCAGGTGGAAATGGGAGAAGATATTAGCATTCAGTCCAGTCCCACCCTGCATAGGGCATTATTTCCCCTGGCCTTAATTTCCCCACATGCAAAGTGAGAATAATGTTGGGAAGGAGACTGTGGGGGTTGGGGGCCGAGGGAACGGGCTTTGGGCCTCTCCCTGTCCTGTCCACCCCCCACCCTAATCTCACACTCTCCACGCTTCTCTAAGCCCACTCCCGACCTACTTCCCAAATGCCTGCTTCTGCCAGGGCCTCCCCACTCTCAGGATGTCCGGCCTGTCACTCCTTTCCTGCCCGGCAGACAGCCCAGGCTCTCACCCTTACTCACTTGTAGATAGGACAGAGCCCAGGCGCTGGGGACCGGGTAAGCCCCGCGCGGCCACTCCAGGGCAGGTCCAGTCGCCAGCCCAGGCGGCTGTAATGATCGAGGCTAGCACAGGGCACCAGTTCCTCCTGACGGGGTGCTACTTCCTCCTCCACACGGATGCTCTCCGTCCACTCACACCACCGCCTGCCCATGATGGGGAACCACCGCTGCTGTCACCATTCCCTCTGTCACTAAAAGCCCTGTCCTATGACCCCACTCCCAGGGGTGGTTACTGAAGTAAGGATGATGCTGAGGTAGGGAGAAACACTCATGGGAAGTGGTGGGGGTGGAGGGAGGACCCCGGGGGTGGGGTCACGAAGTCATGCCCCAGGGGGTCCCTGGGCAAGGGGCAGGAAGAGGACTCTTCCTGTCAGAGGGGTCCAGGGTGGGCTGCTTACCCATCAGCCAGGGCCAATGCCATCCCAAAGAGGAGGGCAAGGAGCAGCATGGTGCCCTCACTACTGGGGCACATTTGGGGAACATGAGGCTTGGGCTCGAGAGAGGCGACGCTGCAGAGAGCACGGAGAGGCCAGTGCCGCTCTCTCCTGCCCCATGCAGCCTCCCTGAAGCCCAGTGGCCAGTCCTGAGGGCTGGGGAGGCTTTATTCTAGCCTCATGCTCCAGGGCACCAGCTGCCCACAACTGGATTGGACCTGCCACACCAGCCCTCAGAGGCCAGCTCTCCCTGGAAACAGTCTCCTTCCCACTTCCCACCCTCTCCCAGGGTGTCTGTTTCTCTCTCTCTCTCTCTCTCTCTCTCTGTGTGTGTGTGTGTGTGTGTGTGTGTGTGTGTGTATTTTCACATTCTCCAGCACTACCACAAATTAACAAGGGGCTCTGGGCAAGCCACCCTCCCTTTCTGGGCCCCAATTTCCTTCCCAGTAAAAATTTCAGGGACTTTCCAGGAATGCACAGATGGGACTCAGACTCCAATCATTCTTTGAAATTGTATGTGCACATTTTTCTGAAGACAGTTCTGTAAGTTTTATTATTAGATTCTCAAGAGGGCCATGACCCCATGAAAAGGTTAAGAGCTCCTGGGCTAAATGACTGATGGGGTCTTCCAGCCTTGAACTTCTGGTTGGATGGTGCTCCCCTGCCTCCCACCCCTCTCTTGCCCAAACTTAAGAGTGAGGGCCAGTAAGCGGGAGCCTTTCCAGGGTAGCTGGGGTTCCTGAGTCTTTGATATGGGGGGGCAACATGTACCCTTTTCTCCAGGGTCCAGATTCTTGCTGGGGATGATCAAGCGTGGCTGGTTGGGCCCACCCTGTCTCCTTCTTCGAGGGACTTCTAGAGTCTTTGGGGTCTAGAACTGGGAAGCCTGTGCTGAGGAATGACAGGAACCTCTGGAAAGGCAGGGCGGGGGAGCCAGCCCCCCCCCCCAGCCCGGGGCCAGAGCTAAGCCGGATGAAATAATCCGAGAGTCAGGCTGGGAGTGGCAGTGACAGGCTCCACGGGGGAATCCGGGGTCCATCCGGGTTCCAGCAGAGCTCCGAGCACACCCGGACACCCGGGCTGGAATGCGGCCTAGACCTGGGATTCCACATCCCTCCGTCTCCTAAACCTGGTATCCCTCCGAGCATCTTATACAGTCGTTCCACCTGGGGGAGGAAGGGGAATACTAAGGACCAAAGCTGGGCTGGGCTCTCCATCTCCCGGGTTCACATTGATCCTGGGACCAAAAAAGGGTCCAGAGTGAGTCTCTCAGGTGGTCGGTCACGGATGGCTGGGATCAAACCCCCTCTGGAGTCCTCAGCAAGGGCCACACTCACACCCAGACACCCCCTTTCCTGTTTACACACACGCACACTCTCGCTTTAAGTCTCACAGCACCGACACAGGTGCTTGGCCACACCCCAGCACGAACAGTGACACAAGCCGCTCCAGGGGCTCCCTTCAGCCTGCAGGCAGAGGAGCCTTCACAGCTGAGCCTAGGGATGGGGTACTCTTCCAGGGACTCACCCCTGTGGTGGGCTGCGGTGGCAGAAGCTCAATGGCCATGCACCCACTCCCCTTTCGAGCCTCATTCTCAGCTCCGGATTCAAACTGAGGCTGATCCGCCAGCACATGGATTGGGAAGCGACCCGAGTCGCAGTCACCCTTTCCCCTAAAGGGGCAGGAGGGAGTAAGCTGGTACCCAGGGGAGTATGGAGAAAGCTCAGGGAGAGGAGACCGGGACTAACAGTCCAGACTTCAGCATCTGTGGAGCTTTCAGGAGAGGGGTGTAGCGGGGACAAGGCCGAGGTGACACATCGTAACCCAGGCTGGGACGGCGAGGGGAGTTCCCTGAGGAGCTGGCGCTGGGGCTCACGGCTGCCCTACACATCTAACTCCAGGTGGTGTCCGGGCCAGCAGGGCCTCCTCCCCGCCAGCGTCTCCCGCCCAAAGAGCCCTCCCCTCTCTGCAGCCTCCACGCAGACCCTCCCCGGACCCTGCCCTCAGAGTCTCCGCCCAGCCCCGTCCCAGCCTCGCCCCCCGGAGCTCCAGACCCGGCCCGGCCTTCTCCCAGGGGACCCGGCTCAAAGTCCTCTCCCCAGTTTCTACTTCGAAGGGCCGGTTCTCGCAGGCACGGGCCCAGCCCTCTCTCCCGTCTCCCCCAGCGGCTCCCGCGGCTGGTTTCGAAGCGGGTCCTCGGGACTCCGGGCGAGGGGCTGTGGGTCTGGGTGGATCCGGGTGGATTCGGGTGGAATCCGGGTGGAGAACAGGGGCGGGACCGGAGCTTCCCCTACCGACCACCACCCCCCCAGGGCCGTCCTCCCGCGGGAGTGCGGCGCTGCACACCCGGCTAGCACCGGCGAGTTAGAAACCGCAGCGCACGACTCTCTGGCTCCCCCGACACGCCCCCTCCTCGTCCCCCCAACTCCTCCTCGCCCCCCCACCCGCTCGCGCTCCACCTTTCCCCGGCTCCTCCCTCCGCGGCCGCAAGCACCCTCCCTCGGCACCCTTCCCCGCAGCCCGAGTGCCCTTCCTCCCCAGCTTCCTCGCCCTCCTCCACCCGCTCTCCCATCACCCTCCCCTCCCCTCCCCGGTCCCGAGCTCCCACTCCAGCACCTACTCCGGAGAAGGGGCCTCAGACCATCACCTGCCCACCTAAGCCTGCCGTGCTCCCTCCCGGGGCCCCACTCCTGAAGCCTCCTGTCCCTGTCTCCCCCAGCCCGGTGCGCCGGGGCTCCCCTCCCGCTCCTCGGTCCCTCCTCCCTCACGGGCGCGGCTTCCCGGCTCCCGCTCCCCGCGCGTCTATCCCTCTCCTCCCCGCGAAGTTTCGGGGCTGTCAGTCTGTCAGTCTTTCGGGCCGTCAGCACCCGAGCGCAGGCGGCGGGCGCCATTGTGAGCAGAGCCGGCGGGGCCGGAGGCCCGGGCGCCTGGGTCCCCGCGGCGCTGGCGGAGCGGCCGGCCCGCCAGGTAAGGGCCGGGGAGGCTCCGCTGCAGGCGGCCCCGCCCGCGTCTCCCTCCGCACAGCGCTCGGGTCGCGGCGGGCTCCGCGCAGGTGACAGCGCCGGGGGTGGGGGCGCGAACGGCCGGCGTGGGGGAGGGGCACGGTCGGGGGAGCTCGGGGTCTGGCCGGAGGGAGGGCAAGCCCGGCGCGGGCGGGGTGAGGCTGTGGGGGTCGAGGGGACCGGGTGTGGGGACTGGAAGTCGCCCAGGCGGCGACTGGGAGGGGGCCGGGCAGGAGGCAGGTGGGAAGGGGCCGGCGGGCCCCGTGGGGAGGGGAGAGGGAGTGTGGGAGGGGGCCGAGGGGGAAGGGGAGGAAGAAGCAGGCGCTGGGGACCGGGCCGCTAGGGAGGGGAGGGAGAGGAGGGCGCTGACAGGTGAGCCCCGGAGCCGGGGAGGAGGCCGGGACCCGGAGTGACGTCGGCGATCGGAGCTGCTCGGGAGGACGGCGGGGCAGGGAGGTGGAACTGAGGGTCGGGTCTGGAGGAAAACTTGGGAGGGGTGAGGAGAAGTCCGAGGGGAGCAGGCATGGGGAAGGGGCGCTGCGGGGGAGGGGAGAGGCGCGGAGGGGTGTTCCGAGGGGAGGCGGGGTGGGAAGGACAGGACCCGCGGGAAGGTCCAGAGCGAGCGGGTCAGTCCTAGACCCCCAGGCTTGGAGGCCGGAGGACCCGGGAGCTGGGGAGCGGCCCGGGAGGAGGAGGGGAAGAGCGGTTCTGGGGACTGGGGACGGGGAGGGAAGCGAAGCCGGAGACTGCTGGGGAGACAGAGGGGGAAGGGAGGCGGGGGCCTCGGAGGGGAAGGAGAGCTGCAGAAGGGAGGGAGGGAGGGGGAGAGCGGCGGGGAGACGGGGGGGGGGGTAGGGCTAGAAAGGGGGAGGGGAAGGGAACCGAGGTGAGGCGAGGGAAGGAGAAGGAAGGGAAACCGGGGTGGGGGAGGAGAGGAGGGAGGGGAGGGGAGGGGAAAGGAGAACGGGGTTGGGGAGAAGAGCTGAAAGGAGGAGGGCGGGTGTTGGGGAGGAAGGAAAAGAGGAGGGGGAAAGGAAGGGAGAGGGTGTGCAGCCGGGGAGGGAGATGGAGCGGGGGAGAACCGGGAGGGCAGGGAAAGGCAGCCCGGAGTCTGGGAGGGGGAGGGGAGCTCTGCCGCCGAGACGGCCGGGAGCGGAGGGTCGGGGAGGCGGTGGCAGAGGAGGGCCGACCCCGAGGGGGCCTCGAGGGGTTGGCCCTGCCGGGCGCGGGCGGGCGGAGCCTGAGGGCCGGGGGCGGGGCCGGGGCGGCGGCCCGATTCGCGGGGAGAGAGGGCGGAAGGCAGAGGGAGCGGGAGGGGCGGGGCAGAGGGAAGGCAGCCGGGGAGATGGGGGAGGGGAGCCTGCTGGGGGAGGGGCGGAGGAGCCGAGGGAGGAGGAGCAGGGAAGGGGCAGCCCGGGCGGTGTCTGGGCCTGGGGCAGCCCCTCGCGGATAGGATAAGCGGTGGTGTTGCGGTAGGGGTTTAGGTAGAGGCGGTCATTTTCTCCCTACAAGAATCTCCTCTCGAGGACCTCCCCTAGCAGTGGCCCTAAAGTGACACTCACCTCCGCCCCTGGGCTGGCTCCTGTTTCACCAGCTTGGGCAGTGACAGCTGGAGGGCCTAAGAGATGAAGTTTCCCACTCCCCACCCTGGGCCCTCACCCTGCAGCCTCTCCCCAAAGAATCAAATCCTTCTGCACTTCCCCAGGCAAGGACACTGGGGTATGTAGTTGGGGTGCTGATGGGCTGGGGCTGGCGCTGAGAGACCTGCCAGGTGAGGGGTGGTGCGGCGGTGCGGCTGGTTTCCAGAGCTGAACAGAGCTGGCAGAAATGGCTTCAAGGCCTTCTGGGGCCACCTTGAAAGATCTTGGTTTTCTGAAATCCATTTTCCCTAATTTCCCCCACCTGTACCTAGAGATATCCCTTTTGGAGCTCCTGGGCAGAGCCCACAGGGAGAGGTTGGGCAGAGGCAGGCCTCAGGTGGAAGCTGGCATGGGAAAAATCTGAACATGGCTGTCTTTTCTCCATAGGGTCTGTGGCCTGATCCCAGGAGGTGCTACTCTGGGTTGCCATGAGGGAGACCTTGGAGGCCCTCAGCTCGCTGGGTGAGCTAGCAGAAATGAAGGGACTTGAGGAAGGGCTTAGGAAGATTCAGGGGCATCTACGACTCATACAGCAGAGCCACCCTCAGGAGGCTGCAACCCTGAGGCCCCAGGGGCTGTTGGGCAGCCTCCTTTTCTGTAGCATGGGTTCTCAATGCCTGGGACACGGTGGAGGCTGCGCTCTAGAACATATGCACACTCCTGCACTCACAGAGCACAGTGATATTTACATCTGTGCTATCTCTTCCTTCTGTCCTTTTTGACTCTACTCAAAAGGACTGAGCTTGATACCTGTCCGTGTCCATGCTGGTAAGAGTGCCTGTCCTTCCTGAGCAGGTTGGGAAAAGCCTCTTGGGCAGGCTGGAAAGGGGAAGAGCCCCCGCCTCTGATTACTTGTTCTGTACTGGATGCTTTACTTGGACCCATCCTTCTGCCTGTAACAGGATTCTCTGTGGGACAGCCAGAGATGGCCCCCCAAAGTGAGCCCAGGGAAGGATCCCATAATGCCCAGGAGCAGATGTCCTCTTCCAGGGAAGGGAGAGTACTGGGCGTGTGCTCAGGTAGGTAACAGGAACCAGGGAGAGGCTCAGGGAGGAGTCTGCCTGCTTCCCTCCCTCCCTCCCTTCTTCCCTTCTGTCCTTCCTCCCTCCCTCCCTTCTTCCCTCCCATCTCTCCTCCCTGCCTTTCCCTCCCTCCCTCCCTCCCTTCTTTCCTTCCTTCCTTCCATTCATTAAATATTTATTAAGTACCTACTATGTGTGGGGTGCTATTCTAAACATTTGGAATACCTCAGTAACCAAATAGTCAAAGATCCCTACCTTCAAGGGCTTAATCCTAATGAGTGCAGAGAGTCAGCAAACAATAAATATAAAAATAAGGAAATTTATGAACTATGTTCAAAGATGATAATAACTCTGGGGGAGGGGATGGTGTCTGGTGAGGGGGTTGAAGGGGCTGGGAGTGGGCGGGGCATGTTACAGGGTTAAATAGGGTGGTGAGAGTAGGTGTCTTTGGGAAGGTAAGATTTGTGCAGGATTTGAAGGAGCTGAGGGAAGCCAGGCATGGTGGCTCATTGGGAGGCCAAGGTGGAAGGATTGCTTGAGGCAAGGCGTTCGAGACCAGCCTGGGCTACATGGTGAGACCCTGTCTCCACAAAAAATTAAAAATTAGGATGTAGTGGCTTATGCCTCTGCTCCTAGCTACTCGGGAGACTGCGGCAGCAGCATCCTTTGAAGCCCAGGCTGCAGTGAGGTATGATCATGCCACTGCCCTCCAGCCTGGGTGACAAAGAGGACCTTTCTCTAGAAAAAGAAAAAAGAGGTGAAGGAGGCAGCTCAGCAGATTTGGGAAACGTGCCTCAGACAGGAGTACAGCCAGAACAGAGCACTAAGGCAGGAATGTGCCTAGATTTGGACATCCTGATCCTCCCCAGTGATTTGCTTGGAACTAGGGTCCATCTGTGGGCTGGGAAGGCCCCAGCCCTTCTCCCAGGGGCCTCAGGTCAGGGGCCTTCCTTGCTTCCACTGTCTTACATACACATATTCCAGAAACTCCTCACAGTGGTGGCTCTTGCAACCTGCATACCCTTAGCAGCTGCCCTGCTTGAAGGAGGCTGGGCAGTCCCAGGGAAGCTGGGAACTCAGCCCCTGAATTCAGGTAGGATGTGGGAGGAACCCTGTGGGGTGGGCTGGAGCCAGGGTTTCAAATGCTCCTACTTCCCAGCACCAGTGGGGCCCTTTGCCCATCTGTGATATCTCCAGAGTCCTTGAGGTATCCTATTCTCTGCCAGGACAAGAGGCCCGCACACTGGAGGAAGGTGCCGGCACAGAACAAGCCAAGGCCCCCTGCAGAGGCCAGGCGTGCACAGCACAGAAGGCTCAGCCTGTGGGCCCCTGCCCAGGTGAGTCTTCCTATCACTTCATCCCACCATGGGTTCAGGCCAAGGGAACAGGGGCCCAGCAAGCTCCAGAGCTGCTATCTCATGAGGCAGGTAATCCCCCGAGACAGGCAGTCCAGGGCCTTCCAACTCAGAATGAGTTCAGGCCCTGGTACCTTTCTGCTGTACAGCTTCAGTGCCCAAAGGAAATTTCACATCTGTAGATGGCAGGAGTCAGAGAGGCTGGTCCCCAAAGAGAAACACAGCCTCCCTTCAAGTGCCTTCTAGAAATCCCAACTCCCCCTCCTTATTTCCCCCAGCCTAAGTCTAATTACAGTTGCCAGGAAGATACATGGCTTTGACCAGCCTTTTCACTGCCTCTCCCCTGACACACGCCCTTCCCAGCTTCCACGGATCGGGAGGGCACCCAGATGCTCCACATCTGCCATATCCAACTCATCTCCCCATACCCAGGGTGATCAAACTGCTCATTCTCTCTCAACAATCCCACCAGTACTTCCTTCCACTGGCACCATCCTTACTGCCTTTGCCTGAGGGATATCATTTCTCTAGCAAGGATTTATTGAGTGCCTACCACGTACAGGCTGTGTTAAGTATACAGTGGAAAGAGATGAGCCGTAGAGTTACCCGGACCTGGTTTGAATCTTTGCTCTGCACCTCCTAGCTGAGTGCCCTCAGATAGGCTACTCTGTTGCCGGGAGCTTTGGTTTGTGAAGATTTGTGACAGTGTGTGTACACTTCATCTGCAGTTGGTCCTCAGTAAGTGGTGGCCATCCCCATTTTTATCAGATGCAAAAAGACACCTTTCTTATCAGACATAGAAGAAATGGAACACAAAATGTCTGCTCCCTAGAAGATAAAATCTGTTTGTGATGACATTAATATGAGCCAGAACAAAGAATTAAAAGAACAGTATAAAGGCAAGTTACAAATAAGTACAAAAGTGTTAACAGAACGTGCTATAGGAGTTTATGCTAAAAGATCCGCATACATTGGGAATTTGTCAAAAAACATTAATCTGTGCTGCATTTTGAGAAAGGTGTAGATGTCAGTTCTGAAGAGGGTGTGGTGGAGGATGGGAAGACATTCCAGGCTGAGAAGACCTTGCAGCAGGAAAAGGAAGGACAGCAACTTGGCTGAAGTGGAAGGTCCATGCCTGGGAGAAAGAAAGTTGGACTAGGTTGGGGTGAGCCTCAGATGCAGCTAGAACCTGTTTTTTCTTATAAATAATAGGGTGCTGGGCTGGGCACTGTGGCTCATGTCTATAATCCCAGTGGCTCAGGAAGCTGGGTGGGAGAATTGCTTGAGGCCAGGAGTTCAAGACCAGCCTGGGCAACACAGCAAGACCCCATGTCTGAAAACATAAAAAATATGAGCCAGGCATGGCAGTGCACACCTGTAGTCCTGGCTGCTTGGAAGTCTGAGGTGAGAGAATCACTTGAGCCCAGGAGTTTGAGGCTGCAGTGATCATGCCGTTGCACTCCAGCCTGGGAGACAGAGCAAGACCCTGACTCAATTAAAAATAAATACGAGCTATTGATGGTTCTTGAGTAGAAAAGTGAAGAGTGGCACAATGAAGGTGAAAGCAATATCACAGTAGGATAAGTAGACAGGGGTTTGGAGTCAATGGGCTGATAAAAACTGGGAGTACCTCTAATTGTGGAAGTCCACATGTGATGGAATCAAGGCTCAGGCCAGACAGGAACTCAAATTACCTGGTTCAGTGTCTCACAGATGAGAATCACTTTGGGAGCTTTAAAGATGTGAGCACATTCATGGGCCTTGCCCCGTTTGTGCATTTTCTCCAAGTTCCCCAGGAGCTGAGGGCGCAGCACCAGGCAAAGGAGCTTTAAACTAATCCAACTCTTATAGAAGGGCAGAACTTTCTGAGCAGACTAAGAAACGTAACTCAAAGAGGGTAAGTGACTGAACCAAAGTCACACTCCTAGTTAGTGACAGAGGAGAAACTAAGTGGGACGCTCCTGTCTGGACCCCGGGCTCCTTCCTCTTGGCTGGACTATTGCAGCACCAGAGAGGGGGAACACTCCAGCAGAACCCCCTGCAACCTGCCCTTGGGCTGAGGCTCCCCCAGAGCACCCTCCCTGCTTCTCTGGATTCAGGGTTCACTAGTTCCCCAGGCCCTGTAAACTCCATCCTGGTCTTCCTAAATGAGGATTTATCTTCAGGCTGTGACAGCAGGAAAGAAGGGAGTAGCAGGAATATGAGGGCACCCTGGTTCCGTGGCCGCTAGAAGCAGGGTGGGCTGCGGGTGGCGGTTAGAGAGCAAGAGAAGCAGCCCAGGTGAGATGTCCAAGGGAAGGAGGCTCTAGTTCTAAGCTTAAAGTCAGCCAGGGCTGGGTTTGGGAAGCTCAGGTATCTGGTGAGAAACCTGAGTGTGGCCAGTTTGCAGTACCACGGAGAGCTGCTGGACGGAAGGTGGAGACTGAGGTCCCAGAAAGGCAGTGTTGGAGCAGGAAGATCTGGGCCAGCCACCAAAGGGATGTGAACCTGGAGTGAAGCAGGGGACTGAAGCTCTGAGGACCTTCCTCTTCAGGGGTGCGGGAGGGCTCCTGGGCACCTGCAGGTCGGGAGGAAGCCCCCAGGAGGGATGTGGCGTTCACACAAATCCGAGGCTGCAGAGAGTGCAGGAGGAGGACTGCGAAGATTTGCGGATTTCGTCACTCCAGGAACTGCTAGGTAGAGTGGACAGCAGAGCCAGACCGCAGGGCTCCAGGAAGTGGAGATCCTGTAGTTAAATAAACGTTGCCGCATGTGGAGCACAATACACAATTCTTGTTTTGACTTTTCAGGAGACGAGTGGATAATTCGGAAGGTGAAGGTGGAGGATGAGGATCAGGAGGCAGAAGAGGAGGTCGAATGGCCCCAGCATCTATCATTACTTCCCAGCCCCTTTCCTGCGCCTGACCTGGGGCATCTGGCTGCCGCTTACAAACTGGAGCCAGGAGCCCCGGGGCCGCTCGCGCTGTCCGGGTGGGCTCCGATCCCCGAGAAGCCCTACGGCTGCGGGGAATGTGAGCGGCGCTTCCGGGACCAGCTGACGTTGCGACTGCACCAGCGGCTGCACCGGGGCGAGGGCCCCTGCGCCTGCCCGGACTGCGGCCGCAGCTTCACGCAGCGCGCCCACATGCTGCTACACCAGCGCAGCCACCGCGGCGAGCGGCCTTTCCCGTGCTCCGAGTGCGACAAGCGCTTCAGCAAGAAGGCCCACCTGACCCGCCACCTGCGCACGCACACTGGCGAGCGGCCCTACCCGTGCGCGGAGTGCGGCAAGCGCTTCAGCCAGAAGATCCACCTGGGCTCGCACCAGAAGACCCACACCGGCGAGCGGCCCTTCCCCTGCACGGAATGCGAGAAGCGCTTTCGCAAGAAGACTCACTTGATTCGGCACCAGCGCATCCACACGGGCGAGAGGCCCTACCAGTGCGCGCAGTGCGCACGCAGCTTCACGCACAAGCAGCACTTGGTACGGCACCAAAGGGTGCACGAGGCGGCCGGCCCGGCCCGGCCCTCTCCTGACGCGCCCGCTTCTCCCCATCCCACCACCCAGTCCTCCACCCCATCCCCTCCTGGGCCAAAGCCTTTCGCCTGCTCGGACTGCGGCTTGAGCTTCGGCTGGAAAAAGAACCTCGCCACGCACCAGTGTCTGCACCGCAGCGAGAGTCGCCCCTTTGGGTGCGACGAGTGCACACTGGGCGCCACCGTGGATCCCGCCGCCGCCGAGCCCCTGGCCAGCGCGCCTGTCGGACCAAGCTGCGTCCCGGAATCCGATCCTGCGACGCCCCAGCGCGACCCCTCGGGCGATCGGTCCTTTTTCTGCCCGGACTGCGGGCGCGGCTTCGCCCACGGGCAGCACCTGGCGCGGCACCGGCGCGTGCACACGGGCGAACGGCCCTTCGCCTGCACGCAGTGTGGCCGCCGCTTCGGCTCGCGGCCCAATCTGGTCGCCCATTCCAGGGCCCACAGCGGCGCCAGGCCTTTCGCCTGCGCTCAGTGCGGCCGCCGCTTCAGCCGCAAGTCGCACCTGGGCCGCCACCAGGCGGTGCACACCGGCAGCCGCCCCCACGCCTGCACCGTCTGCGCCCGCAGCTTCAGCTCCAAAACCAACCTGGTCCGCCACCAGGCGATCCACACGGGCTCCCGCCCCTTCTCCTGCCCGCAGTGCGGAAAGAGCTTCAGCCGCAAGACCCACCTAGTGCGGCACCAGCTCATTCACCGCGAAGCCGCCCCCGCGGCCCCGGACGCCGCCCTCGCGCCCCCAGCCTGGCCCGCTCCCCCCGAGGTGGCGCCGCCCCCGCTCTTCTTCTGAGCTTTGTTCTCACCTGGTCCCTTCCTTTGCCCACAGTTTCGAGAGGCCCGTGCCATGAGAACATCTGGCTTGTGCACTGCGGCCGGTGCTGCTGCCGGAAGGCTTGGCCCCCGCGGGACTCCTGTTTCCTTCCCGCAGTGTCTGAGTCCGCACTGCGCTCCCAGCTCCGACCTCCTAGGGCAGAGTGCGAGCGAACCTGTGCTGGGAACAGTTGAGGCTGAAGTCCTTGCAAGGCTCCCACCCAGGTGCCCCATCGGAAAGCAGATGTTTCCAGCGCGGCCTCGACTGGGGCGGGAAGGAGTGGTTATCTACGTAGTTAAAGTTTCATAAAAACTAAAATCACAAAGTTCCGGGGCTGTTACATGAGTCGGGGGAGGGAACCCCTGACCCTCCTTGGCCACTGTCCCACCTCCATCCACACACAGACTACTCCCCTTCCCTTTCTGTCCTGGGTAAGTTACATTTAGCCAGATGCTGTTAATTGCTTCTCCCAAATCAAAATGTAATATACGTATTCACCAAACTACCACCCTGGCTCCTGCTTCTAGCTCTGAAGTATAAGGAAGGATGTACATTAGGGTGTATTTCTCTTGTGCCAGGTGTCACAGGCTGGAGCCGAAGCGGGGCAGGCCGTCCTTTGGCATGGGCTTGGGAACTCTGTGCGGCCTCTGTTTGCAGCTCTCTCCGGGGTTTGGAGCTCAGGGCGTGAGAAGGAGGTGTCGCGTCCACTGCAGGTGAAGATTGCTTCCACATCGCACTTGCAGCAAGTCCTCTCTTGAGGTTGCTGGGTCCAGAAGCCTCTGCATTGCCCTTCTCTAGCCTAGGCAGGTGCAAGAGCTGGGGCTGCCTGGCAGTGAGCAGAAAGGGTAGGATAACGGGGCTGGCAGTGATTATCTTGGGTTTGACCCCCCTCTGCCTCTCATGGGACTTGGAATGGAGCATTACCCAGTGAGCGGGGATGAGAGGCCAGAGCAGTGGCCTGAGAGATGGAAGGGCCTTTCACACCTGTGAAGGAGTTTAGACCAGGTCCGAGGAAGGGGGAGCCCAGCAGTGTTATGTGGGGAAGGAACAGGGCCCCACTTACATTCCTGCATTTTGGAAAGATGTCTGGCTAGACAACTCAGGAGCAAGACTGGAGGCCTGCGCATCAGTCATCCTGGTGACAGGTGGTGGTGACCTGGGACCATAGTTTTGTCAGAAGAAACAGAGAAGTAATGGATTCAAGAGACACTTAATAGGCAGAGGACACAGGACCTGTTGACTAGTGTGGGTGGGGAATCAATGAGCTCAGCCCGATTTTTTCTGCTTGACGCTGACGGGATGGCAGTGGCATACTCCCAGAAGGGGGATGCAGGAGGGGAGGTACAGCTTCATGCTAGGGGTACAGTCCTGGGTCTGCTGAGTTGTGAGCAGTGTGTGGCCAGCAGGAAGTAGGCTGTGTGGGTGGAGAGCTCAGGAGAGGGCCGGGCTGCAGACACAGACCTGAGAACCATCCACATGTGCTCCTGAAGCCATGGGGGAGTAGATGATCTTCCCAAAGAACCAAGTGTGGCATGAGAAAGTAGGGGCTTGGGACAGAAGCCTCTGGGACGCCATTAGGGGATGTAGAGAGAGGCCTGTAAACAAGGCTGGAGAGTGGGGGTGCAAGGGCTGGACAGGAAGGCCCCAGGAGAAGGTGACAGAGGAGCCAAAGAAAGACCGCTTCAGGGAGGAGGAGGCTGCTGGAGGCAAGAGGTCACCAAGGCAAAAGACTTCCCACCCCTTTGGATTTTGCTGCAAGCCAAATCCAGTCTTGGTGAGAGCAGCATCTGGAGCAGTTGGGTCTGAATTCAGATCACAATGGTGAATTAGAAAAGCAAAGTCCCAGAGAAGGTAGGTGACAATGAGACCTGATCTCAGGTGAGGGAGGGACGCTGGCTGGGAAGCCTGTCAGAGGAGGCATGAATGCAGGTGTGTTGTTTTGTGGCCAAGAATGAGTAGGTGATTCCAGGTTATTTTAAATATCTTGAAATGGCACATAAAAATCTGGACTTGCAGCTTCTGTTGTGAAAAAAGCAAACGGTTTGGTGACTGGTGTCTGGAGCTGAGCGGAAGGAAGTTGGCCTCTTCGGACCAAGGGATGGGAGTTCTCAGCGCTCACCCTCATCTGAAAGCCCAGCTGGGCTTCTCCAAGGTTCCCTCCCCGGCCTCTTAGGCACAGAGCTTGTGATTCCAGCTAAAAAAGTCATTTCACAGACTTTTAAAATCAAACACATAAAAACAATGTTTGTGCTGGTTAGAGCAATGTTTTCCTTTCTTGAAACATTCAGGAATTCTTGTGTAAGAACAGCTTTGAATCTTACAGCATATTTGGTGAGGGCTACCATGTGCCAGACACTTTCAGGATTTCACATTCTTTCAAAGATTCCCTACCAGGCGTGCATATCTTTGTCTTTATTTTTGAGCTTGTTTGCAAATAGTCAAAATTTGTTTAGCATCCAGTCTGGCAGTAGCCAACTCAGAAGACGTCTGCTCGAGAAATGCACCGTGACTGCGATGGCAGGATGAGGTTTCCGAAGGCTGTTCCCAAGGAGGAGTTCCAGACTCAGAAAGCAGTGACCTCACTGAAATCAATCCCTCACTAAAATCCTCACCACCCCATGCTCCCTCAGGTCTGAGCCACCCCCAGGTACAACTACCTTGATAAAGCACCAGACTTTTGACCTTAGAACCACATCCTGGTGTATGAAAATGCTCAGAGAAGTGAAGCACCCATTAACTAGTTCTATAGATAGAAGAGAAAGGTCTTACTAATTAGCTAAATTGACTTCTCCCCAATCCTGATCAAAGAAAGAGACTTACTGTATAACGGGTACAGAGTACCCAGTATGTGTCCAGAATGTTCCTAGTATGTGCCCAGAATGTGCCAGTCCCTGTGACTAGCACAGAGATGTCTAGCACATGCCACCTGTTCATAAGGAACCTGCAGTCTGACTGAAGATGAGACACTGATGTCCATGAAGCAGAAGTGTTAGGTGGCATTCTGTGGGCTCTAAAGACCTGAGGGGACAGCACGCTCTGGAGAGGAGGTGGGGCTGAACACGGGGCTACATAGCCAGGCTTTGTGGATGGCTGGGGGAGGAGGAAAGAAGGCCCCAGGCTCCCCTTCTCACAATACATTTCTTCCTCAATTCTCTGTCCTCCCAGTTCTTATCTGCCCCTAGTCAGGGGCCCCTCCTCCTCCTCTAATCTCCATGAAGCCTGTGCCTCCCAATCTTTTTCTTTTTTTTTTTCAAACAGAGTCTTACTCTGTCACCCAGGCTGGAGTGCAGTGGCACTATCTCGGCTCACTGCAACCTCCGCCTCCTGGGTTCAAGCGATTCTCCTGCCTCAGCCTCCTGAGTAGCCAGGACTACAGGCACATGCCACCACATCCAGCTAATTTTTGTATTTTTAATAGAGACAGGATTTCATCAAGTTGGCCAGGCTGGTCTCAAACTCCTGACCTTGTGATCTGCCCGGCTCAGCCTCCTAAAGTGCTGGGATTACAGGCATGAGCCACTGAGCCTGGCCCCCAATCTTTAAATTCTTTTGTATTGTGGTAAAACATAAACAACATGAAATTTACTATTCTCACCATGTTTAAGTGTGCAACTCAGTGGCTTAAGCATCCTCCCAATGTTGCATCACCATTACCACGGTCTATATCCAGGGCTTTCTCATCATCCCAAACAGAAACTGTTCCGAATCTTTTCAATGGGATGACACACTTAGGTAAGGATAATATTAGGGTCACTGGGGAGTCCACTCAAGGCCTGTGACGATGGCTGAGGCTGCCCCAGCCCCACACCTGGTGGTCCTGACAGCTGAGAGGCGACCTCCATCTCTGGAACTCCCAGCACATTGGAGAGCTCTGTTCCATGTCACAGACCCGGATTCTTGTTTGTGAGGGAGATGGGACACAGTCACTTGTCACCAGAATGATAATATCCAAGTTCTCTGGATTGTGATAGTTAATAGAAGAAATGCCATGGAGGCCTTAACCCCACCAGCCATCAACCCGGCAATGTCTGAGTCTTCTTCATGGCTTAGTCTTTATCAGAGCCCCCAGTTCTCTGTACCCCACCTCTACCCCATCTCAAAGGTTTGAGCTTTTGAGCGCAAACTATCTCATTCCAGAATTTTTGGCTGTCGTTGACTCAGATGATTACACGCTTGCGTCTGGCTAACCCTTCATCTTCCTCTCAGCCCTTTCGGTGGGTTCTTATCTCCTCCCTCAACTGCTACCCTAGCCCAGTCTTAGAACCTCTAACTGATTTAGATACCTGAGTCCTGCGAAATCTTTTTTTTTTTTTTGAGACAGAGTCTTGCTCTGTCACCAAGGCTAGAGTACAGTGGCGCCATCTCAGCTCACTGCAACCTCTGCCTCCCAGGTTCAAGCGATTCTCCTGCCTCAGGAGTAGCTGGAATTGTAGACTCACACCACCACGCCTGGCTAATTTTTGCATTTTTAGTAGAGACAGAGTTTCACCACGTTGGTCAGGCTGGTCTTGATCTCCTGACCTCGTGATCCGCCCGCCTTGGCCTCCCAAAGTGCTGGGATTACAGGCATGAGCTATTGCGCCTGGCCAACCTGGGGAGTCTTAAATGGAACCCAGTCCACAGCCATTCTGATGACGCTCTTGCTGGAAGGAGGTGGAGAAAAACAAAGAACAGGGCTGCCCTCCCACAGGAGAGGTTAGGCACCCAAGAGGAGAGCAGAGCAGTGGTTAAAGAGGGCAGGGTTTCTCATCTGCTTAGGATTTCAAGCCTAACCCCAAGCCTCAGCTCCCTACAGCATGAGCAACAATTCACAAGTACCCAGTGTGTCCAGGTGCTTAGTTTCCAAGTTGCTGCTGCCTTTTCAATTTGAGGAGCAGGGGAAATGGTCAGTTAGCAGCCAGTGTGCCACATGACCAGTGTATTGCTTTATAGTGGAAGATACTCAGGTGCCTGGACTGTTTCTCTTTTCCATGCTAGGGAAATGAAATTAATCGTCAAGACTGGGTTTGGCAGGGGGAAGTCAGACCAAAGTGAAGTGAGGAGACTAAAGCCATACTTTATTCAGGCTTTCGTGAAGCCTGCCTATCACAGGATGAGCAAGACACAAGAATCTTTTCTGCAGCCCGGCCTCCTATATCTTCTCCCTCTCCATCTGCAGGGTTGGGCAACAAGAACTGCTGGTAGAGTGATCTGGAGATGTTCCCCAGGCTTGACTGCCTCAGGCATTCAGGGCGAGTCTGGCATTTTAATCCTCCATAAACATTGGCTGAGCTTTAAAACCTACCCAGCCCTTGGATCACAAGTTCAGGAGATTGAGACCATTCTGGACAACA